CAAAGATCCCAAAAACTCCCGCCTGGCAGTGCACCACCTTGGGCGCAAAAAATGACGTGGAGATATCAGCCTGTGGTTTTAAGAAAAAACGTATTGTATATTCTATGATATCATTATCCCAAACTGTAATAATCCCAACGGGTTAACTGACAACGAAAACAATCATTCTGTGCAGCCCTACTTTAACAACACATCCCCTCTCAGAGCTCTTCTCAGCAACCAAGCTTTTGTTTAAGCCTTAATGGTTTGCACTGACTCTCTGTATTCTATAACTGTACACACCGTGAACTCACAGATCCTGCATTTATTACTATAAACTGTGCAGATAATGCAGACTTTAAATATCAGTTATTTATTCATATTCAGAAATTGAGCAGTTGGAAATAATACACAACATTATCATTCTTGTGAATCACAAAATGTAATTTTTCTATTTTGCATTATTACCTGAATAAATCAAATAAATTAGTTGATGTTTCCCAGGCAATCATTGAATATAAGTACCAAATGTGGTATTTAATAGATCAAATACATGAGGATTATGTGTAGGTTTAATATTTAATGCATGTTTTACTTAGTTTCATACAGCTGTTAATTGCTGAGTAGGGAAACGGTATTAAACATATAAATAAAACAAGTGAAATAATTTGTAAAGGATAGGCTAGTGTGGTCTTTAACTTGGTAATGGTCGTATTCCTACCCTGCGGTCGGAATCTTTATCAACTCAAATCACAGATGAAAGCAAACTCTACAATAAACGCTAAATCTAAAAAAAAAAAAAGATATCCTGCTAATTCAAATGAGCAAGTGACAGCAGGCACACTGCAGACGCACAACCCAACACAAATACAAATGCGTGTGTGTGTGTGTGTGTGTGTGTGTGTGTGTGTGTGTGTGTGTGTCTGTGGGTGAGAAATTGTGTGTCTGGTCTTCCAAATTGGGAGAATGTGATAAACTGAAGCAGATCGCTTATGTCATTCACCAGGACAAGGGACACGCGGTGTGTCTCGACTCGTTATCTCGCAATGACGGATCGGATGAAGGGGGATCTGAGGGGGCGTGTCCAGCGTAACGCGCCATCCCGGAATGCGATGTAAACACTCCGTGGTTGCGCTTGACCCGAAAAGATGAATTAAGACTTTCGGCACCACAGATGTGACGTTAAACACGTATTTGGTCTTGAGCCCCTCGATGTGAGGTCGGTCGCTTTATTGGACGAGTAACTGTTGACTCATGCAACGGTCTAATAATTACGCACGCCGATCGATGTCACATTTTACTCTTAACTTTGAATACATCGTTAAGCGAGTCGACCCCCAAACAGTTGACACGCACGGTTGTTTTTACTTCCGAAATACCGACGCGGCTGTTTTCAAGGCTGGTGGATCCGAGCATCTCCGGCTAATGCCGCTAGCTAAGCTCACTGACATCTGACGTTAGCCGCTCCTACAGCGGTTACACAACTACCTTTGGCCCCGTCGCTCGTATCGAACAACTCATTCCGGCATTAGGGTTCACTTTAGGAGATTAGCCTTTTCATTTCGTACGCGTCAGATGAGCGTTAGCTTCGCTCGCGTTACCGTTAGCTGTAGCAGGCTAACGCGAGGATTGCTCAACACCAGCCGGGAATGTCATATCGCCGTTATTATTTGTATTTTTTTCTGATGAAGTTGTATCTCTATGTTAATCCTTGTGTGTGTGTCAAGCGCCCGGTCGGCTGGCGAACACAGCAGCCTCGAACACTTAAGCTCACTGCATGTCAACGTTAGCTATCCGCCATTTTACAACTTCACGTTACTTACCTCGTTTTTTAAATCACAGACGGACTGAAAGGCAAATAATCCAAAGGTCGAGGACTTTGGGGGAGGAGGGGGGGAGCTTTCGTTAATTCCCCACGCAAATTGTCATTTCCTCGTGAATAAAAGTTTTATTGGTAGCTTACGTCAAGAAGCTCCTCGCCGGCTAACGTAGCCAGGTTACAGTTTGTGTTTTCAACGGTGTGCGTGTAGCGCGTGCGCGCGCACCACCTGTCGGCGGCTGCGGGAACTGCAGGTGGGAGACGGACGTCGCGTCTCCCGCCGCTGCCTACTGCACTTTACTCGCTGCTGGAAAACACCTACTTCAAGAAGCAACATTAAAATCTGTGAAATGAGTCCGCCTGTGCTCGGGGAGAGGCCCCGTAACTTCTCAGATTTCAAATGTATCACGAATGTGTTGGCGAGTTTGCAGGGTAGAATGTGGGTGCAATTCTCAGGAATATAAACGTTGAGATGCACCTCGAGTTTAAGAGGAATAGATATTTCCGAAAAATGTACACATCGTCATCCCTTCGTGACACAGGTGGATCATTACAAAATCAATGTCACAGTTTCGACCACATCAGCCTAATGAAATCATGAATTAAGTGTGTGTAATAGTATATTGTGTAACTTGGGAGGGAAACACAAGCAGTTTATAATCCTTGACAGTAGTGAGAGATGTAATAAACATCAGGAAAACTTGGGTCTGTTAATTAAAGCATAAGAAGGATGAACAAGACAACCACGGTTGTTATTATACCCCAGAAAATTCAGAAGGCTGGAAGCAGTAAACACGATGATTCAATTACATGATTCAATTTTATAACCTCATATTTTCTTTGTTTAGCTCTATTTCTCATGATTGCCATAACACTGGATTTAATACCGTAGATTGTCCTCAAGACCAGAAAACTCATTCAGCTATTGTATGTTGATGTTGGTATTTGTAATATTTACACTGATGTAACTTGTAGGATGTTATTTATATTCACACTTATATCAATATGGGTGGGAGACTTCAGGATGGACAGTTATTCATATTAAAAACGTTAGCTGACGTGTGGAGTGAAGTTACTATTCCTAAAACTGTGCCTCAAATGACAAAACCTATTGTTTCTGGATCTGTCAAGAGGAGCGATTTGAACTGCAATGTATGATACACTCTCGTTGAAGGATTCTTCAGAAGTATTCACATTCATCTAGAGCAGGGGTCTCAAACTCGCGGCCCGCGGGCCAATTGCGGCCCTCGGGACGATATTTTGTGGCCCCCGCCTTCATATGAAAGTGTAATGTTAGTGCGGCCCGCGAGTTCTATATTGTAGCAACCTCGCTGTTAGCAGCCACTTACAACCTCCACCCCAGCGCCGACCGTTCCGTTCGCCGGTCGGACCGTCAGTGTCATCCCCCCCGTCGGCCATAATGGTCTGGCCCTATGGCGTTATATTTGTGCCACAATCCTGAGCGCGTAATTGTAAGTTTTGAGCACAGAGAACTATGTTGTAGCAAAGAAAAACATTCCGTGCGCGCAGTTTACTCAGGTGCCGTCTCCACAAACTGGTTTTCTGCGCGCAGGCAGCGGTTGCTGCGCTCGCTCCACCTCTTCACGCTGCGCTCGCTCGACTTGCAGCAGCGTTACATTTGTGCCACAAAACCAACCAATCAGAGAATTAAAGAAGGTCCATTGTGATTGGCTGTTGGTCTCCAATCACAACGCTTCCTAAAGAAGACGAAAACGAGTGATATTAGAAGTCCGGCTAGCCACCATCAGACATGACCGAAGCAAATGATGAGAACAGCACGTGTTTTAATCCAGGCCGTTAGCATTTAGCACAAATGCTGCAAACTTCAACAACTCGCTGAGCTTCCGCGATGCTGTAGGTAGTTCTACTAGCGTTGTGATTGGAGACCAACAGCCAATCACAATGGACCTTCTTTAATTCTCTGATTGGTTGGTTTTGTGGCACAAATGTAACCCAGCTGCAAGTCGCGTGAGTGAAACGTCGAGCGAGCGCGTGAGTGAGGTGAAGAGGTGGAGAGAGCGCAGCAACGGCTGCCTGCGCGCAGAAAACCAGTTTGTGGAGACGGCACCTGAGTAAACTGCGCGCACGGGATGTTTTTCTTTGCTACAACATAGTTCTCTGTGCTCAAAACTTACAATTACGCGCTCAGGATTGTGGCACAAATATAACGCCATATAGCCCGCGTTCAGTTGAGGTGGGCTGCATCTGGCCCGTACCTGACTTGAGTTTGAGACCCCTGCTATAGAGCTTTACAGCCCTGAAATAGTTTTGCTGTTTCGTCATTCGAAACGTGCTTGATCAAAAGTTTTACAAAGTCAAAACAGTGGAGAAGAAAATTATCCCAGATTTAAAATAAAACGTCTTTACACCATTGACGGATTGGACATTTTATTGT